TCTCCATATGGCACCTCTCGGAATATGTATTTTCTTGAAGCTATGCAGGAATGTTAAAAAAAATACTCAGATTCTAGTATCGTATTGTCGGAAGATCCAGTTTATTAAGTTCCTCTTTTCAAATTCTCTTATTTTTGGAGTAAATAATGCATATATGCAGATGGCACCTCTCGACGCAAACCCCTTTTCTAGGGACTAGCTGATGGAGAAACGTTGAAAGCAAAACTCCCAAATACATGTATTCTGAGCATCTTCGCAAGAGCAAGTTTCGTAAGGTCCTTTTTTCTTCAAATTTGATGAATATCATTATAAATCATCAGATTATATCACCAAGTGGAACAATAACTTTAAAGATTATTCTGTAAATCATACAATCATGTTTTTCAAAGCGAATAGACATTATTTTTATTCGCACGAATCGAATTCAAACTTGGGATAATAATGTGCAAAAGAACGCTATTATTGATTTTCATAAAAATATATTTTTAACAATTGTTTCATTATTCACGCCAGTTAAAATTGATTTTTTAGAAATGGGGTAAATGTTTGCAGAAATATGTAACATAGTTCTATGTTTTTTCTTACTGGTGGTGTACCTTCTACTTTATCGCTTAATACGTACGTACGTAGTATACAGAAAGTACTGTAATACTGCAGCAGAAAGTAACTATTTTTCGTCAGAATAATCGTGAGTCCTTAATATTTAAAAGGTGAACAAACCATGTTTTTACACAGTAAATTAATTTCTCTAACACGCTGAGTAGTCAAAAATCACTTTTTGGGTGTTCTTGGTATCAAAAATTGGTTGACAAAAAAACATGTGTTATTCAGTCAGTTCGTCTCAGTTAATCTGTCTGTCCGCTTGTGTGTCCGTTTGTCAGTTCGTCTGTCAGTCCGCCCTTCCGTTTATCAGTTCGTTCGTTTGTTCATCCGTCCCTCCGTATGCGCGTCAACACTAGCACCTAAACAGTTTATACGCAAAGAATGCTAAAAAATGGTGCAGATCACTTTGTCGTTGAATTCTCTGAATATTAGGAAGTTGAAAAAGTTACAAATAATGTGAGAAAGTATGCAATTGTATAACATTACTACATTAAATTTTGCTATTATATAAGGGGTTTAGAAGAATTTATGAAAATAAATTTGCAGTTGATGCAATAAGTAAAGCAAATAATCATGTTTTTAAGATCGTATTAAGCGTGCAGTCAGTTCGTATCCACAACCCCTCGGTTTACGATACCACACTAGATATAACACCACTCACAAGTAAAGCAACGCCGCGGCGATCGATAGCAAAAAAAAAAATTACCATGGATAAGTGACTGTGTTTTCGGGGAGGTTAACATAACTGACTGACAGAATTAGTTTCGAAACTGAGGTGCATGTTGTATCTTAGAGACGGAGGACGTGAAGGAGTTCCTCCCCTGTTGAAACAAGTCCGGCGCCGACCTACACATCGGCCTGCGCGTCCCCTCTCCAAGTATCTTCCACAGGGAGGGGCCGATAGAGCCAGAACCAGCTCTAATCTTACGACATTACGGTAGCCTAGAGCGTGTACGTGCGCGAGCGTGTCTGTGTGTGTGTCTGCGTGTGTGGGGAAAGAAGAGAACACGTACCAGGAAGGAATGAACGCGCGTGACCCGTCTGTCGATTGTAAAACTTCTACACCTGTATTCCCTTCGCCATTCATCGGAGAAACCGTAGAAAACTACCGATCAGAGCAGCCGGTCGGTAAATATGTCCCCCGACTCAATTCGACCGAGCTACGTAACAAGTATAAAAAAATCCGCCGCAGGCGGATCTCGAACACACTCCACAACCTACCGCTCAACGACGCGGGAGAGCCAACAGTGTTGCCACCGACCCGTCCCGAGCGGTATGTTCCCCCGGCCTCCGCTGGCAGCGGCGCCGCGCGCCGCGCGGAAACCCCACGACGGAAGCGTCGCCAACGCGTGGGCGGGCGGGTGGGCGTGGCGGCGCGCGATCGCGTGGGAGGTGCGCGCGCGAGGCGGGGGACGGCGGACGCAGCGGGAGGCCGCGACAACCATGGAAATAAATTTCCATCCAGGCAAACAATACATCACTGACCATTGATCCGGCGTGATCTGACGGTTTCGTGAATTTATCACCGCTAATCACTTCGTAATCAAATTGAAAACTGCTCAAATGTTCGACAAAACAAATATTAAAAAAAGCGCGAAATGACGCCTAACGAAGTAAACGTAATAGGGGGACTGTAAATAATATAAGAGGAGTTCGGAAAGCGAGATATGACCAGCGCCGACTCAGCGGGGCCAGTGCTCTAAAGCGACACTCGTCACTCGAGGCCGTAGGCTCGAATACTTTGATGAATAGATTTTTTACTCCCCATTGTGATGGGGTCGCATTATGTGACTGTACTGTATTATATAAATTCCTAGATGGTACTTGGTATGGAGTTGCAACACATTTTTGATGAGATGAATGACGATACAGTATTCCATCGACAGACAGATAACTACTCGGAAGAAGACTATTTACACGGATCTTCAATTTTTGCCTGATTGGGGAACTTTGAATTTTAAAGAATAAAATTGAACTGATGGAACACGTAGGTTCTCTACTTTAATATCGACTGTCCTTTGAGTTTCAGATTACTTTTTTCAATACTTTTCATAGAGTAATAATACAAATGCATTCATATTTCTTCTGGGGCGTTGCCTTTAATAGTGGGGAGAGTGCGACAACTATTTTTGAAGTTGTATTAGAAATTTCTGTAGAAGTAAAAAAGCACAGAGAATACTTTCAGACTACGAGAAATGTTTTGAAAACATTTAATTAGTATGTTAAATTTAACTACTTATATCTCCTTACAATGTGTATAATTTCCAGTTCTGACAACTGTATTACTACTGAAAAACATTGGTCACATAAAGGGAAGTTTTAACAATCATTTTATGGAAAGATCATAATTAATATGAAGATTATAGAAGTAAGGTGTGAAGTTCATGATTTGCCTTTATTTCAATTTTTGTGTTACTTTTATCACTTTTCCTCATGAGCGTTGTTAAGAATATTGGAATTATCAAGCTAATTCTAAAGTCGTAATCAAAGTTAATAATATATTTCTTAATGATGATTCTGAGCTGACTAACGATTTGAAATAGAATCTCATACGCGATTTTAACACATGTTAGAAATTTTCACGAGTTAGAAGAACAGGAGAAGTTTTCTCTGCTGTTAGAAGAAAAGGAGCTCTACGATGCAATGTCCATGACATGTGCTTATTTGAATAGTTAAGGTGTTAATAAGTATAGTGCTCTGATGCATTCTCGCCATGATGTTTTCTTATCAGAACTACACTTCAGAGCAGAAAGACCTACTATAATGTATTGCTCTATACTCAAGTACATGTATAAGCCTTCTGAAGTCCTAGATCTGAGATATGATCTGTCGAGGTGTATCTGACTAGACTTTTGAATTCCAAATACAAAAATCACAATTTTTTTGGTGAATTCACGGTAATAAAAGTTCAATCTCTAATATAATTTTTCAAGAAATTTTGTATCAATAATAGTAATAATAATAATAATAATAATAATAATAATAATAATAATAATAATAATAATAATAATAATAAAATAGCCCATCCGATGGACTGCCGTATCGTTGTAGCGGTATCGGACCAGAAGATCGCGGGTACGAGTCCCGCCTCGGACATGGTTGAGTTGTGTTTGTCCCTGTATGTTTGTGTGTGTCTATTTCATCAGTCATCATCATTATCACAATTTCACTCCATCTCCCAGGGATAACTACCCTATGGTGTAGAAAATGGAATCAGCGTTAAAATGCTGATCCTCAACAGAAAGTAACGTAGACTTACCCCGATATTCAAAGACTGAGCCCCGGTGGTATGGACGTGTCACGTGGCCCCACGTGGCCGATTCGCAAAACAAAAAAAAATGTATAAATGGTATCAAAAATTTGAAATTCATATTGGGGTTTCTATTCAAGAAAATTTCAGATTCATCCCACATCTGCTACAAACTCCCCGAAGCCAAGAAAACACAGCTTGGGATTCCCCGTCTCGGACGCAGACGGCGGAGACTGGCGGAAACGGCCGACTGCACACGAGCGCGCTCTCGGAGCGCCATCTGTTACCGGCAATCACAAGGCGGTGCGTCGCGCTGACCGAGCGCGCCAGAAACTGACTTATGAGAACTGAGGTTCCCATCTTAGTGTATATGTCGCCCCTCCCCCTACACAGTCTCGCAGCTTGCCCGCCTTCTGCCGCGCGCACGGACTTTCTTTTTCTCGAGAATTTCTCCTTCGCGCGAGAGTTTCCGACGCCCCGCTCCGCGCTGCTTCCGTCATATCTCCGCGTTGACATGTGGATGAACTTTGCATGAAACGTGCTGCAGGCGGCCCCCGCGTTGTATTGCGCCGTCGAACGCACGGAAATCAAACCCTCGGTTTCTTCTTTATCTTCTGATGTTTTATTTCCCGCAGAGGGGCGGCAAAGACACGACTTTTTGTGAGGATTGTAGCGGCTTCTTTTTTTTGTTTTTTATCAGTGCCTGTCACGCGGAACTGAGGGAATATTCATGGAAATGTCTGCATTTATTCTAAAACGGCGCTATCATAGCAAATGCTCACATTTATAATTATATTATTGGAGCCGATCCATAAGAGGCACATACGTTACATTACGACGTCACATTACACATATCGTACCACTTCTTAAAATTAATTTTTGAAGTCGCTTTACGATTAGTTGAAATGCTAACATGTGTACCTTAATATACTGTACATTTAATTAAAGAAAGAAGTTTTTTAAATAGTTTTTGTGACTTCATTTCCGTTATATTCTTCGAGGAAACGTTTTTTGACTATCTTTTGATTTTTTGAGAAGCTTTAATTATAAATTTTGGGGGGAATTATAGTGTCAGGTGTGTGAGTGTGTGTTTGTCTAATGTTAAGCACATTCAATCTACTAACACTTAGGAGACAGATCGTGACGACTATTTACTTACCCGTTCGATGGCATGCCGGAGCGGCACGCCCCCTTTCCACCAGGTCATCTCCGGCGGCGGGCGCGTGCCCACGGCCTCGCACTGCACTTGGTACTCGTTGTCCGCGCTCAGGGGCCTGTTCTCCCCCAACAGGCGCACCCAAAGAGGCGGCACTGCAACATGGAAGAGGAACGGCAATGAGCGACTGACCTTTTGAGTGGGCGTGGCTTGGGGGCGAGAGAGAGGGCAGGAGGAGGGGGCCCCGGAACGGAGGTCGAGTGGCAGAACGGGGTAGCGCAGTCTGCGGCATCCGAGTGGATACCCCGCTCCCCCGCCC